TACGGTTTCGCGATAATAGATATAAAGGTCACGGGCGATTTAGAGTGATGATGTCAGCGTTAATGTTTCCTACTTCCAATTTTCTATTTTTATTAGACTTCATATGCAACGAGCTTAACAATTTAAATTTTCATGTTAAATAAGGAATATATGCTTAATTCAATCTGGCAATACATATATCATAATTTGTCTTTACAAATTCGACATTTGTGTCTTAAAAAGGTGGTAAGGTACCCCAGCCCCATAATTCAATACATTTCTCATTTTTTAATATATCTGATTATTTCAAAAGAACGCCAAGTACTTGTATATTTTCTGAACCACGCCGCTGTTCGAATGAATTATAAAACTCCCACATGAATAATTATGTAATTATAAAACATAGCATACAATTTACTGCAAACCTCGGAAATTACGATTAACTCTTCGTCAGCTTTCCACTAAGCTAGGATATTTGTGATAAACTTGAAAATAGTCCCTACGTTGAATATTCCATTTTTTTAATATATGGGCATGTCGAAGATATAATATCACGAAAGCTGGCGACAAATGACACATAATTTTACAACATAGATTTTAAAGAATTGTATGTTTATAAATTCTCTGAAGAAGCTTGAAATATTCTATTTTCTTGTGCTCTGAAATTTTTCGATTCTTGTTACAATGTAGAATGCCTAGGGATTGCATTGCAACATATTTGGTCCCCATTTAGGAAGGTGACATTACTTACATGGATTGACCAAGATTTACAAACTGAAGCCAATGATCTACCTTCCGGAATATCCGATGTTATTGAGCTGGTTTCGTGTAAAATTTTTGTAGTTCATTCTCCTAAGTTTCTAATCCAATCTAATTTAATTATGAATATAGGTTTTGTAGATATATCGGTATTTCACGGAATTATTGGAAGGAAAAAAGTAAAAAAAAAAAAAAAACACAATTAACAGTTCTACGTATGTCATTTCTATCTAGGTTTCCTTATGTGATAATTTTTCGTTATTATTCTACCAGAGAGAGATATCCACCGTTGTACATTATTAATCGGTATTCCTTTTCGCTCTCTAGTTTCTTTCGTCGCTAATTTGTTTTATTCAAAGTTCTACTGTCTATTTGATGTTTGTTTTCTCCTATCCGACTTGATATTGCTTAGCGGGAAAGGCGTCTGTTTGTTTACTGAAACAGTTAATTAAATATGAAAGCAAGCAAATATACACAGGGGTATTCAATCACACCAGTGTTGCTTCCAATTTTGAAAAGATCAAATTTGTAGTTCACCTGTGTCATTTGTCAGAGTTTTCCCAACTTATCACGTCAACGTGTACTTGAAATATTTAAAAAGCCAAAAATCATTTGTTGAACCCGCATGGCATATCGATTCAACAATATTGTATCTGGAGAGCGACGAGTGCGATGTGATGATTGCCTTTCCTTTTTGACAGATTGTGTGAGTGTGTATTGGTCACTCCTGTTCGCCGCCATTGTCTTGAACTGCGATTTTGCCTCCTCACCAGAAGGATGTTAGCTGTTCCTTTGGTATATCGTCTAAAAAAAGTCTGCCACATTGATTAATTTGGAAAATGTTTTTGTTCGGATTATTTCAGTAATAGCCCATGATAATATTTTTAAACTTGTCACACCCTATTTTTGGAACTATGAATTGATTGTATTTAGAGGAAGAGAATGTTGTTTAAAGTTGACAAGTCTAGTAAAATATGTGTGGTCTTTTCTAATTGATTTGATGCAATAAATAATTTCATCAATGAAATCCTTGTTTATTCGATAGATACTTGATCATGTCGTCAAGTACATGGGCGGAAGACATCATTCATTAACGAACGATGTCTATAAATCCTCACTTTATCGATAGAATCATGTGCTACCTTTTAGACTATAAATCCTCAGTTTATTGATATAATCATGTGCTACCTTTTAGACTATAAATCCTCAGTTTATTGATAGAATCATGTGCTACCTTTTATACTTAAAAGAAGTAATCGGTAACATTTAATCAATATAATAAAAACGAGGAAGAAGAGGAAGCATGCCCCACCCCTTTTCTGACAACCATCACAATTGTTTACCATCCAAGAAATGGACTTAGTATCAATACGGGGCATGTCGTCCAGTCACAAAGGCGAGGGTGTCTTCCTTCAGCCTTAATCGTCAACCACAGGATTGTCTACAGACAACACAAGAAATACGTTAAGTATTGACAGTTAAACACGTTGATTAAAGAACATAATTCTGACTTCAAACGAAGTAAATTTTTCCTAAAATATCTATTGTCAAACAAAAATCACGGGAATGTTATAACTTATTTCTGATTTGTTTTCTTGAGCTACAAGATATGTTGTCAACTGTCAAACACGGTTCATTTTACATTTATGCCTAATCTTTTTGATGAAGATTATCTGCGCTGGCAATTTAAGAACAATATGTTAACCGTCAGACACCGGGCATGCGTATAGTTTCACAAGAACAGAAGGACATACTATTCAGGAAGGCTGCCACAAATTAACAAGGGTGAGTAGGCCAGATTGCATATTGTGCCGGGAAATAGAATACTACCAAGTGATCATACGATGACGTCCGCACTACTGTCTCATAGATCTATGGAAAATACGAAATATATTGAATTATGGGGCTAGTACACCTCACCATATTGATTTTGATATTTCTTTAAATCAATTTTGATCTTACGCAACGGGCCCCTAGATTTAAGAATGTAGGTCCTTAGTATCAGTGGCAGGTCCTAGAATGAGCAAACTGTAATGATGTCAGCCTGTTATTCTTGTGATGTATTGATAAACCTCCGATGTACTTATAAAATCATTTTATATTGGTGTACATGTAAAGTACTGATTAACCTCGTATGTACCTATGAAATTCTGTAGTATTGGTGTATTTAGATTGTTTTGTTAATTTTTAATATACTATGAAACCCTACCACACTGGTGTATTCTGAGTGTATTGATGTTTATGTACCGCTGTATTCAAGGAATTCATTAATACATATTTAATGCATTGCTATAGCGGAAACATAAACTTTTAATAACACGATACAACCCCGTAATTATGTCGTAGATTTTAAATCGAATACAAGAATAGTCACCAAATATAAAAATAGTCACCAAATATAAAAATAGTCAACCATTTTTAAACGGGATTTGGTGACAGACTACCTGATGATCTGGTCTATGATAGCAGAAAGATTTGGCCCTTAGCATCACTGAAGAGTCCTTGACAGACAAAATAGAAATATGACACATTTAACTTATTTGTATTGAAAGGTACGCTTTGAATACGGCATTCCCCGTGGTCCGAAATGACTAACACCTTGTACATATCACTCTGACCCTTTCGCGTCAATATAATCAGCGCTGTTCCGATCTCTCGTGTCTCGTTGAAGGAACTAATCCACCTATTAATATTGGAATGGCCGACCGACATATAGTCTGAATACACCTACTCGTTCAGGATTGTGACTCTAATAAACACAGTACAAATATCGTAATGGGAAAGAGTAATGAAAAAGATCCTGGCCTCACTTGGGTTCGTACTAGCGACCCTTCGGTCTCTAGTCGAATGCTCTTCAACTCGAATAAATTGATATTCCTATCAGTCGAGGCTAGTAAGGCGACCTGTACACGTAACATCTATACTATCCCCTCCTACAAGAAGTCTTTGACCCCAAAATCAACGTCGACCTAGGTTCAATATATCCAAACAAGCATCTCAATCTCCTATAGTTTTCACCCTTGTACTGGTCAAAGGCACCAAATCTGTTATAAGAAGGAGTAATAAAACATACCCTACCCTTGCTGGGGTTCTAACTAGCGACTATTTAATCTCGAACGGATTATTCTACCGCTCGACTGCAGTGAAATTCCCACTTGCCCAGAGTAGTATTGCGACAACTACAACACTTTAACAGTAAGAACATTGTACAGATTGGATCATAACGGATAAAAATGATTCCAATTATTAAAACATTGCAATGTTCCAAAAAACTTCCGTGTAGCTGTCAATCATTGTTTTGTGTTGTTATTCTAAATGACAGAGAATCTCGACAATTTGTATAACAGACGTGCTGCAGCCCATTGTTTTGTTTTGACATTCATTAACACTGACATCTTCAAAAACCCCCAAGCTGATCAAACCTGATAGGAGCCATGCCGGAGTAACAGTGCAGGAACCAGTGTTGGTGCGGGTCACTCTCATTCATCCATTCTCCAACTTTTGGAGGATCTCACGTTTCAGTGAGGCGTTCAGCACAATCATAAGATAAATGTATTGTTCAAAGATATTTTTGGTTTTCATGTTGCGGGATATATACCATATTTCTAATGCATAATGTTTACATAGTTTGCATCCTTGGTGTTAAGCAAAGCGAACAGAAAGGCATCGAGACTGAATAGATCAGTCTAGATTATATCACACTGCCAAGTTTTTATGTATAGATCTAACATTGCTAAAGTGTCTCAGTCAATTAGATACAACCTCGCAGTCAATAAGGAAAGTCATGTTAGCACCGGTTATCTGTGGAGGAACCCCGCACGAGAGGGTATCACGGGAAATCGCCAAGCAATAATGAGCACCAGATATATGTTGGAGTGATGTGCCCCATGAATAAATTGTCACTACAAATTGTTATTCACAAAAACGCACAATGCTGCCATGACAACAGGTTAAAGAAATTCTCAATGTGATATCAATGATTTACAATTGTGTGTGTTTTGATTCCCTGCCTTCATCAAGGTTCTAGTTACATTGGCTGAATACGAGTGAAATAAAGCCCACTAGTCAGCGTTACATCATTGGCGGCACATGCTGTAATACCACTTTCATTAAATTGATGCCATAAACCGCCATTCTTATAAATCACATTGTAAAAAATGTGGATTGCGCTTGCCCCATGGAAACCCTACATTTGAAATATCATAGCATTTACTTCCAACCAATACATCCAATACAAACAAAGGCCTTTGTTACATGCATTGATGGCGTTGTATGTATCGTGTGTACAAGTTAACACAGGTAAGTTACATATCACGCTAGTTTGCGTTCCTGGCTGCTTTCTGATTACCAACCAACCACATTCTCGTTCAGTTTGGAAACGTCATCTATCCTTACTTAGCGACTTTCCTTGATCAACAATATACTTCTGAAACACATGGTCTTATTATCTCATACTTGTTAAGTGTTGTCCACGATGACCGTTTCTTGTCTTAATATTTTGCCCTGATTTTGTCGATAAGGAGTCTGAACGATGGTTTCGTAAATATTTGCTAGTGTAAGTCTTTGTCATTGTAGGTATGTCGCCATTAATCATGGCTCTGCTATATACAGGCTTATGTAATCAGCCCTAGGACAAATGGGGAAATTAATCAGCTGATTTCTAAGAATGGCGAAGTCATTTATTTTCTAACACATTACGTAACTGTGTTATTATGGTACATTATTAAGTAAGCACGGTTAGTTTGTACATAATGGACTGATGTTGGCATGGTGACATAAAAAGTGTTTGTCAGGTTTAAAGTGAGTCGAGTGTCACGACAGCATGCTGTTGGAGAGAGTAAGAGCATTGTAATTACGTGTAACTATAGTGGTAACTGTGGCGGTAACTACGGTGGTAACTATGGCGGTAACTATGGTGTTAACTATGGTGGTAACTATGACGGTAACTATGGTGGTAACTATGGCGGTAACTATGGTGGTAACTATGGCGGTAACTATGGTGGTAGCTATGGTGGTAACTATGACGGTAACTATGGTGGTAACTATGGTGGTAACTATGGGGTAACTATGGTGGTACCTATGGCGGTAACTATGACGGTAACTATGGTGGTAACTATGGTGGTAACTATGGTGGTAACTATGGCGGTAACTATGGTGGTAGCTATGGTGGTAACTATGGTGGTAACTGTGGTGGTAACTTTGGGGTAACTATGGTGGTAACTATGGCGGTAACTATGGCGACAACTATTGTGGTAACTGGTGGTAACTATGGTGGTAACTATAGTGGTAACTATGGTGGTAACTATGGTGGTAACTAGAGTGGTAACTATGGTGGTAACTATGGTGGTAACTATGGTGGTTACTATGGTGGTAAGTATGGTGGTAACTATGGGGTAACTATGGTGGTAACTATGGTGGTAACTATGGTGGTAACTATGACGGTAACTGTGGTAACTATGGCGGTAACTATGGTGGTAGCTATGGTGGTAACTATGACGGTAATTATGGTGGTGACTATGGTGGTAACTATGGTGGTAACTATGGGGTAACTATGGTGGTAACTATGGTGGTAACTATGGCGGTAACTATGGCGACAACTATGATGGTAACTATGGTGGTAACTATGGTGGTAACCGTAGTGATAGTGTGACAAGATGTACAACATAAAAAACGGGGGATGTTTTTGCAAGTATGCGTAACACAATCAATGCCACTGACGGAGGGTTCGAGGATTTCATTACAGCGAACTTAAACATCCTTTCATACATACACAACTCACAAGGGGAATGACTCGTACAGGAAAGACAAGAGCGAAACATTTCATTTTTCATTACACTAACACTACGGTTACAAATTCAGCTAACGTTTTACAGAGTTATCGATATGTGTGTTTTACAAAGACATTTATCGTGACATTATACAACTGTATATTAATAAATGATATGAAGTAAACACAAGAAATACAAGCGGTACATAAACCTAACCAAGTTTAACCCACAACCAAGTACACACAAGGTGTGCACCCGTGCATGACGTAAATACAGGTAATAACTCAAACATTTAGAAACGAAAAACAGTTTTTTTTTTACTTTCACAAAGTGGTTATAAAATATATAATTCACTCATGTAAGAGTCATTACATCTGTTAAGTTCTCCATATTGTGCGGAAGGTGTAGGCAGGGGTGGCTGTAATGGTTTGTGTTTCCTTTGTTCTACAGTAAGGGGTTGTACAGTCGTTCTGGAGAAACCAACTTAATGGAACTAAGTCCTGTGCCGTCACTCCTCTTGACTTCGTACAGATATGTTCACTTTGTATTCCATAGAACGCCATGTTCCCTCTGCCCCAGATAAAACACGTTAGAAATACTTTGTAACGCCAAATATAAACATCTAACTTATACCTAGACGTACGCCCACAAAACCAGTGTTTTGTTGATGTCTTCAAGAACTGAACCAATTGCTTACTGAAGACATTCTACCTTTAGGCCAATCACATCACCGGCACCGAGTCAGTGATGGTTTGTAAGTCTTAGTTTTGTTTATCTGTTATAAACTTCTATATTCTTAAAAACTTATTTATTCCATTATTAACTGACTACACGAAACGCATTTGTGACTCAAAGGGAGGCGGAAATGCTTATCTCTGACGCTTTGTTCTGCACACCACATCTATTTAACAAATCTTACAATAATATGGGTCACGAAATAACCGCATGTTTTTAGTTTGGGTGATAATTTTCCTTTACTAGACTCTACATCCGATATAGCGTTATCTGCAGAAATACATATACACACAAAGACAGCATTTTTATCCTTTTTTACTTAAATGTCATTTCTTATCAGTGATCCTAAAATAAACATTTTACCGCTACAGAATGTTTACGTTATCGTCAAGGGATTTCCGCCATTGTGACAAGTAATCGATATGAAACAGATTGAACACATATTTAATTGTTGTGAAATTATATCATTCTCCTAATGTAATTATTTGTGTGTTTCATTCCGGAAGATCGATCATATGAGGAATTATAGAGCAATGCAAGATAACAATGTTGGTCGTTGTTGTCATGGCACGTCTTCTTCACGCATTAGTTTCCATGGCAGAAGAAATAATGATTACTACGAGATCTTGAAAATCTCATATTGCAATGTACAAATCTGGAGTATTGATGTCTCAATGATATTTTAAAATGTGTCGGGATTATTAAGAAATGAGATCAATAACGACTTTATTCTACATTATATCTATATAATGAGATCTTAAGAACATAGTAAAATAAGCAGTCTAACTTGTTCTTGGTTATCTGTATAAACTAGCTTGAAGAAACGAAATATTATTGATCACATCGCACATATTTAACTCTATAATCTTGACCAAACAGAGAGTCATAAACCTCAAGTAAGACGGCATTTGCTGAAATTCGGACTTTCCCAACAGACGAGTTAAATCTTATTAGAATCGCTTTTATACTATACGTGCACCAAATATTTGTGAATGACACCGACTATTGGAGGACATTACAAACCAAATATTTGTGAATGACACCGACTATTGGAGGACATTACAAACCAAATATTTGTGAATGACACCGACTATTGGAGGACATTACAAACCAAATATTTGTGAATGACACCGACTATTGGAGGACATTACAAACCAAATATTTGTGAATGACACCGACTATTGGAGGACATTACAAACCAAATATTTGTGAATGACACCGACTATTGAAGGACATTACAAACCAAATATTTGTGAATGACACCGACTTAGTGACTGCCATTACCGCCATCTTACAAAGCACGGTTAAACTCCACTTTGTATTACAATTGAACAATCATCGTTTCCCTGAATAATATCTATTTTAAACATCTTAAGTTCCATCAGTGAGATTTAACTGAAACTTGTCTTAACTGCTCCAGAGATGGTCCTGACCAAGTGTTGTCATTCTTCGGGTCGGTCCGAAATCCAAAATGGAAGTCTTGACCGCCGTCTTAAATACACATTTAAAACTGATTTCCTATTTTCTCTTTGCCGATGGAATATTTTGGATCAGCTGAAAAATTGAAATGACGAGTGTTTTTACCCTTGCTTATAAGATATTCCGAACTGTTTTAATCAATTAATAGTTGTTTCCACAACTACTGTTGCTGCTATTACCAGTGTGTCATACATCAATCTTTATGTTCAGATGTTCACTACCATGGGTCTCTTGTTGAAGATTGGCATAATACTAGATTACGTTCAGCTTCCTACATGTGTGCACTGTGTTACAAAATAATAATTATTGCTCAAGGAAGCAATTTCGATGAGCTGAAAGAACAAGTGATACCTATCTAAGAGTTTTACTGATAATTAGCATAAAAATATAACTTACTGAAATGTACTTTTCGAATTTGCAAAAATAGAAAAGTACGATAAGGTCAAATAAAGCGGTTCTACACGTCCGTAGCAATGAACCGTCTTGTATCGAATGGCGAGTTTTTGACACTAATGGAATTCACGGAAGGCTTCACTAGGGAGCGGGTGTAACTTAATGTACTAGATAGTTGTATAAATCCAAATAAATGGCCATACTGAAAATAACTTTTGGCACCAACCATAGAATGACGATACTATATATATATAGATAATAAAATCTTTCCACGCGGTTTTTATGGCAATCATGTTGCCCGCCCTTGTCTGCAAACACTCAAGCAGTCTTTGCTGTTAAAGGAGTGAACGTATCAAAATATATTTTCATGTTGAAATCTTTCAAGATACGGATCGATTGTAAGATCAATCGACAGAATTTTACATTGGTCTGTTGTGTGACCAGAGATATCTCAATCTCTAATGTAATAGCTTGTCTAGCCAGCCAAACTCCTACACAACTAGAGCAGGAGCCCACAGGGGTCAGCCTAGCTGGAAAGGTAACAAAATGTGTTGTGCACAGCATGGATCTATATACTTGGGCAAACAAAGAAATGAAAGTCTGCCGGTCCCCTGCTGGTGGGTGTGGTCCTCAGGGGCAGGATAATACATGGAAAATTTGAGCTAGCTTAGCTTTCATGAGTAACAAATAAAAACAACTCAATATGTAATAAGCGTGATAAAGTGTATTAGAAATGACTAATGACAGAATTTTTTCGTAGTGGGGTACCCCTGTCAGAGCTCAAAAAAGGACCCCAAAAAATCATGCTAGCTCAGCTCATGGGAAAACAACTTAAAACCAGCCTCAAATTTATCAGCAGGGCCCACTTTAACAGAAAAGAGCAGTGACAGACATTTTCAGTGGTGGGGGGTCTGAGCCAGACACCCCAAAGTACCACGCCCTACAGCTGAGCTAGCTCAGCTCATGGGGTAACAACTTAAAACTAACCTCAAATTTATCAGTAGGGTCCACTTTAACAGAAAAGAGCAGTGACAGACATTTTCAGTGGTGGGGGGTCCGAGCCAGACACCCCAAAGTACCACGCCCTACAGCTGAGCTAGATCAGCTCATGGGGTAAAAACTTAAAACTAGCCTCAAATTTATCAGTAGGGCCTACTTTATCCGAAATGACCACTGACAGACATTTTCAGTGGTGGGGGGTCCGAGTCAGACCCCCCCCCCCCCAAAGTGCCACGCCCTACAGCCAAGCTTGCTCATCTCATAGGGTAACAATTCAAGGATCAACTAAAGTTAACCATTATTTTGGAATTTTTTGAAAGTGGCAGAAATGAATTGATTCAGTCAGTCAGGCCAAAGTACACAATTTCAGTCCAAATTAAGTAAACCATTCATGTCTGTTTTGTTATAGACCCAGTTTGAATGTATACTGGTTGCTCACATCTGTCAGTTTGGCTACACCGGCATGCCTGGTTTCGGGATTTTCCAAAATAGCGATTTACTTTAGTTTATCCTTAAAACCAACTTCCTATTTATCAGAAGGGCCCATTTTTTCAGAAATAAACAGTGACATTCTCAACAGAGGACGAGGCAATGGCAATCGCCAGTTACCTTCCAATTTTCATTGGAATTATGTTACTCCCTGTCATCTTCGTGATCTGAATCGGAGTCCTCACTCCATGGCTCGTCGTCAGACTCGATCAGTTCATCCAGCTCATCTGGATTTTCTTTGTCTAAGTCCATGTCATCACTACCTGTGATGATGGTCTCATCACTGTCACTGTCCCCTTCCATGGAATCGGCATTAGTTGTTTTGAACAGGCTCGATGGAACTGC